TATTAAATATTACATCCATAGTCCTTTAATAAATTGTCTCTGCATTTTTTAAGTCAAATAACATTATAGCATAACACTATAAACCATCCCTGTAATAAAAGTTTTTTCACAATCTGCTGAGCATTTTGATATGATGGTAGTCCAAAAAAGCAACAAGAATGCACATTATCATATAGCCAACTGCTGAATCAATCAAGGTGTCGATGCATGTAAGGGATTAGGTGTCCTTTGGGCATTTTGAGTTATGGTTGGCAAGGTTCATGCACATTCACCATCTTCCGTTTGACTTTTAGAACATGACCACATTGGCAATCCAATTTTAATACACCACCTCTCTAAGGAAGCCGACTTGGAGCAGCTTTTGCACCTCTTGCAAATTAGTTCAACTAACATATGACAATCAAGCTAATACTCTACTTGATCGGCCACATACCGGGATTCACATTTAATCAGTGAGATCTATGTATATCCCCAACATATCTTTAGCAAACCAAGTGGATACATCTACATTCTCTCAAGGTAGAAATCCACTCACCTCTGTATACCCCGTCAAAAGCAACATTGAGGCTAAAGGTTTTGTCAATTTTCTCCTCGAACATGAGCACTACTTCAATGGTCATGCCGATCTCTAGGTTGCCTCTCTTTTAGATGTTCAAGTGCAGAGTATGCTCCTTCACTTAACTTATAGCCTTTAGGTAGTAGGTGTTGGACTAAATCAGATCACCTCTGATATTCACAATGAATTCATCACCTAAAGGCCATAAGTCAAGTGAAGGAGAAAATTCTACATTTGGACAGGCCTACCGAAAATAGCATTGTAAGAAGATATTGAAAATGGTATTGTAAGGGGATACCACTGCTTTAGAGGTGTTTAGAAGAGGTCTGTCGAAAATGGTCTTGTAAGAAGCTAGCGTGTCAACTACAATAAAGTCAGCCATAACCGTGTATTGTCGATATTCTCTCCAAGTAATATGCAAGGCAATTACCCTGATTATTTTGTTTCACTCTCCAGAGAATCCAAAGAAGGGACCTTAAATCAAAATAAGTCGTGATTTCCCAGTTCATTTTATTAAGAAGCTTTTTAAAAATATGTCTATAGAGCTCATAGTGTCAATCAGAATATTGTCAATCCAATAATTTGTTATTAATTTCGTTACCACTACTATGTCATTGTAAAGATTGTCATTAGCTGGCAAGTAAGCATCCGTGAAAGTAATTGGCGGTTGTGTCTGACTAGAGGAATTGGAAGAATACGCCAAGTTCACATATCCTTATTTTAGTCGCTTAAAATTGAATTGGTGGGATGCTTCGCTTCAGAGTTAGTCCCTTCGAGAATTGTTGGGAGCATCCCGGCTATGTAAATAGCCTGAGTTGGTCATGGTTCGTTGTCATTGCCCCCCATGGTCGCTTTTCTATGTCTCCAAGTACTTGGCTCATTGAGCATGCACTCCTTCAATTTTTTAGCTTTGATATATTTCTCTATCAGGTTTTGGATATGTCAGCACTCCTCCATGTTGTGACCATAGTGGCGGTGTTAGGTGCAGCACTTCTTTGGATCATCCCGATCACCGCTAGCTCTCCTTAGCATTTGTTTTCTAAAATAATCTTTATTTTGAATGCAAAAAACAAGTTCAATCTTGAGAATCTCCAATGAGTTGTCGGAGGAAGCGAGTAAGTTGAGGGCAGTGACATTACTCTTCCGGGCTCAACACATCAGCCTTCCTCATGATACTTGCACCTCTCAAAAGGGTGAGCTCCCCTTTACTCCGAGAAGCGCCTCATTGGCCCATGCCCAATGGGGCGAGCTTCTTCTCTCCTCGATAATTGGTGGATCTCTTAGGACTACGCTTCTTTTCAGTTCACAAAACATTGGAAGTATCGGCCCCATGGTTATACTCCTTCGCAATGATATGTGTGTTCGCAAGTTCCAACAACTCAACCATTGTCTTCAACTGTTAAAGATCAAGGGCATATATGAAGGTACCTTTTCAGAGGCCTTGAGCTAATGCTTCTTAAGAGACAACAGACAAGTGATCTTTAAAAAAAAGTATCTCTCACTAGAAGATGATGAAGTTTCTTAAGGATTCATCGGGCTCCTGTCGCATACTTGTATAGCTTGTGAATCCTCTCTTCCGAGCTAAGTCATGAATGAATACTTAAACTTGGCATAAGAAATGAACACTCCTATGGAAAGGTGAGTGAACAACTTTAAGGCAAACTCTTTCAAGTTTATGAAGAATAAATGATACTTTAGCGAGTACTTTATGCTCAACAAAGGGGTAGTTGCATCAAATAAGGTGATGCGGCCCAAAGGATCCGGTTTGCCACAATAAAAATCCAAGGACCGAATTTTGAACTTCAATGGGGGCTTTGTTTTTGTGGTTTTCCTAGAGAAGGTGTTCTCTAGTTGAGGCTTCCCTTCGCCTTTGTGTTTCTTCCTGTGAAACTCCTTGAGTAGAATAAAGTCAAAGTCTTAAATATTGAGGCATTTTTTGGTTTAATAGTTGGATTTTAGATAAAAACTCCAAAGTTAAGTGTGTTTATGTTGGAACACTCTTGGGATGGGTGACCTATTGGGAAGTTACACCAATGGCATAAAACGAAGAGACCAAACAAACAATATCTCGATGGGTGACAGTTCGGGCTGTAAGAAATGACATCAAAGTATTACACAAGCCTGAAAATAGGAACTAAGTGCTATAAAGAATAAAGTTCTACGCAATGAGAGCTACCTCTTGAATCCAAGATGGGACAAAATGCTACATGGTGAAAGTCATCTCTTGAATCTTTAGGGGACACATTTAGAATCCTATTAACCTATTTGATGATTTTGGGCTTTAAAAATTAAAGAGAATGTCAGTTACTTAAGTAGGGGAGATTGTGAACACCCTCAAGTAGATTGAACTTTAACTCTTAAACATTCAGGTGTCTTTTGGTGTAACGGTTAGAGTTTCAACGTCAACTTCAAAGTTAAGTGTGCTCGTGTTAGAGCACTCCTAGGATGGGTGACCGCCTGAGAAGTTACACTACTGAGACAATATCGTGATGCCATTAGGCCAAAGCGGATAATCTCTCGACGGAAAAGAGTTCAGGCTGCCACAAATGGTATCAGAGCATTACAATAGCCTGAAATGGGAACCAAGTGTCATACAGAACAAAGTGCAACACCATGGGAGCCATCTTTTGAAATCAAGATAGGATGAAGTGCTTAGTGGGAGCCACTTCTTGAATCTGTAGGGGCCACCTCTAGAATCATATCTATGTGATGGATGATTCTGAATTACAAAAACTGACGGGATGTCAAGTTACTTAAGTAGGAAAATTTGTGAAATCTCTTAAGTAGAATGAAGCCAAACTCGTAATCATTGAAGGGCTTTTTGGTCGAAACGGATGGAGTTCCAATACAAACTCCAAAGTTAAGCGTGCTTATGCCAGAGCACTCTCCGGATGGGTGTTATCCTGGGAAGTTACACATTTGGAGCAAAATCGAGGACCATTAAGCCAAAGCAAATAATATATCGATGGGTGAGAGTTGGGGCTATAACACTTCCCCTCCAACATGAGGTGGAGACTTCACTGTCTAGGTGATAGGTCTTGCTTACTTTTTTTGGGATTAGGGGTTACGCCTAACAAGTTTGGGTTATCAACATGCATAGTCCGCAAATCGGCAGGCAATTCTTCTAACGAAGCAACATCCATGTCCACGAGATTCTCTGTCACTATTTTTCAACATTCCAATATGCTCCTCTTCTAATTTGTGATATATCTACGCTACCGCAATTAAAAGAATGTTTGATTCAAATTTATTCATAGGCACACTACCTAGATAAGAATGCTCGAGATAGAAATATGAGAGATGATGAACAATAGAGAATCAAAGAATTTGGGGAGAAATTAAGATAGGCCCATATTGTCTCTTTGTCGTATATCTCAAGATGATCTCACCTATATATGTGACCCCTAATTGTATACGAAATGAAATCCAGATTGAACGCATGGACAAAAGTATTACAAAAATATGATAATGTATTGCATCGAGGCATATCTTACGGTGCATGCAAAGTTGTAACATCCTCTACATTTTAAATGATATTATAGTGCCCTCAATAATTGCATTATGAGATGAGTCAAGCTAGTAGGTTGTCATACTCATTAAAGCCAAATTAGTTGTGATTAAGGCTCAAACTAATCGGACAAGTACTTAGTCTTACCTTCAAGCAACTTGCCATGTGGCTTCGACGACCTACCGTGAGCCTTGGACAAAATGATAAGTTACTAATGCCAAGTGCATTGAGTTGGCGCCTACATGGATCAAATCCAAATTTACCTGCGGACAGACTTTAAGGTTGGTTGGATATGATTCAAACAATCACAAACTTAGCCAGCATACTGGCTTTGTGGGTTAATGGGTTTGGCTTGACCTATCAACTATTTAGTGTACATCATTCAATTTACATAAAGCATCAAAAGACTATATCAGAAGAGTCTCAAAATGACACTCATTCAATGCCAAGAATTGTCAGCCAAAGGACAAATTACTAGAGCAAAGTTTATATACTAGAAACAAAATAAGTCAAAAGAAAATTCTAAAATATGCAAAAAAAGGTAACTTGCACCACTCACGCATAATATTAGAAGGTTTCTGAGATTTGACAATGGCGAGCTCAATTAATTTGTAAAACGGCATGCTCAATTGATTTGTAAGGCTTACAGAAAAGAGCGATTGTGAGTATCAAATAATATTTGAAATTTGTTTGGTAAAACAAAACATATTATTTGAATTATTAAAAAATGTTAGCCCCTCCTCGATCATAAAATCAAAAGTTAGACATAGCAAGAGTAGAAAAGACCCATCTGTTTAAAAATAGATCAATCAATCCAGAAAAAAGACATGAAATGAAAGCAAACAACCTAGCAGCTGAGGAAAGCTAAAAAAGGAAGTATTAAATTAAAGATATATGGCAAATAGCGAGATTAGAAACCAGGAGATTGGATCGCACATCGTGGTAGAAGAGATGGCGGTGAACTGCCCAATCAAGAGTGCCCTTGAGAGCCCGGCGGTACAGAAGCCGCACGCGCTCCTTCTGCGCTGCCCTCCGAGCGAGGTACCCCACCGTGTTCGAGCTCCTCCCCTCCGCGCGCGGTCCCCCCCCGTGTGCGCGCTCATCCCTCTCTCCCTCCTCTCTCTCTCTCTCTCTCTCTCTCTCTCTCTCTCTAGCCCCTAATAGTCGAGCCGGACGCAATAATTTTTCCAAGGCTGGGGGCCTTGAACCGTTCGGTTCAACAGGCCGGTTCGTGTCTTTTAAATCTTCATCCTTCCAATGCACCGGAATTCCATAATAGCCAGAAAAATCTTATTTTTAATTGTTTGAACAAAAAAATATTTTCTAGAGCCTGAAAAAACGAATTAATTAATAACAATTTGTTGTTAAAGTAAAAGAACGTGGAAGAGTTCATTCTTATGAAGCAACCTGCTATTGAATGTCAAATGGACTCCAAATCAAGCATGCTCGAAGTTAAACTAAGCGTCTTGACAAATCGAATCCAACATAAAATCACTTATTTTTTACATTGTTAAGGCACTCAAATATCCACAAAGTATTGTCTAATCAAGGGAATCTCTCCACATCATCTGATGGAGTGATCTAGACTCTTTTCTTATTTGCAAAAAGACATCTCTAATAATCTATAAATAGAATCCTAGCCTCTTCATTAAAGAGGAAGGAAGAGTCGTACCTAGAGCTAGAGCTGGATCGATAGGAGTCGAATTTCAGTGTGGTTTTGGACCAAAGAGCTGACGAATGCTTCTCGCTTCCGCAGCCACCAACCATCGTCTATTAACGCTCGTCGGTCTCAATCAACCACCCTGAGCTACCCTCTACTTATTGCAATGAAATACCCTGAGCAGTGAATCATCTTCAACATGATGTAACGACACACACCTGATTATGGTCAATGTGACCAACTACGGCCTATGAGACCAACTACAGCCTACGTGATTTATAGCTCATGTAGCTCTCAACATCAATATTTTGGGTTACAAATGTTATTGCAGGTTACCACTATAGTCTGTGTGGTAAACTAAGGCCTACATGTTACACAACCTATGCAACTACCAAATCTGATTTATGTAGACTACAAACATTATCGTAGCTCACCACTACCGCCTACGTGACTAACTAACTATGGCTAGCATGGTTCATAGCTACTGCAGTTCTCAACTTCAGTATCTATGTCCTGTGGATGTTATCACAACTCACAACTATAGCTTATGTAACCAATTATAGTCTACAGTACAAGCAGCTCCCAACTTCAAAATCTATGGCCTATGGATATTATTGCAGCTTTTCGCAATGAAATGCATGACCAACTACATCCTACATGGTTCATAGCTCATGCAACTCCTACTACAATATCTATGGCTTAGGGATGTTATCACAACTGACTAATGCAACCTACGTGATCAACTACGACTTATGTGATTCATAGCTCATGTATATCCCAACTCTGACCATTTTTAGACCTCAACCAAAAGTGAGGTCAACACTACTATAAGTATGTGTCTGACTATAACCTATGTGTTCCACATCTTATACAGCTCTTAACTCTAGTCTCAGTGGCCTCTGAACGTTATCACAACTCACTACTAACTATAATCTACGAAAAATTTTTCCAACTCACTACTATAAGTATGTGTCTGACTATAACCTGTGTTCCACATCTTATACAGCTCTTAACTCTAGCCTCTGTGGCCTCTGAACGTTATCACAACTCACTACTACAGCATATGTGATTAACTACGACCTATGTGGTCCACAACTGATGCAGCTCCCAACTTCGACCTCTATGGTTATTTAGTAAAAAAATGATGTAGCTCCCAAATCCGGTCTTTATGGCCTACAAACATTGTTGTCACTCAATATTACGATCTATGTGGATCATAGCTCATTTAAATGTTGGTTAGGACACTTTTTTCATTAGATGGTGTGATAGGATAGAGTTTAGGATGCTAAGTAGTCCTTTTTAATGTCTCTGACTATTGTTCTGAGATGTGTTTTTTTTCTTGCGCTAGCCACTCGTCAACTTTTTTTGGTTATTTTCTTTTCTTTGTCTGCATGTTGCATATGCATCGTGTTGTGTTAAGGTGTTTTTCTGTAGGGAAGCATGCCCACTTATATGCACATACACAGATACTACTATGAGAGAACATGTAATGATTTCTGACTATTTTGCTTACAGGTGTTATTTAGCTCCCCACTTATAAGGCACGGCTCATTATATGTGTTGCATAGCTTTTACTACTAACACTTATTTTCATGCAAGTCGAGTCCTTTTAATTTACTTTTCCTAGGTACTTTTTAGAGTCCTAGGAATGTACTGTAGCAGAAATAAGATACGGGCACAGGTTCTGAGGCATTTGGCATCAGAACCACGTGGAGGGAACCAGGAGCATATGCTTGTGCCTCGTATCTTAATTTTACATTTGATATTGATGTATAGAATAAGGACAGGGCATGTATATGCAGATTCTGACCGCTCTTTTTCTTTTCTTGGATATGTTGTGGACCCAGTGGCACCGGTCTGCTTATTATTTTATTTGACTTGTTTTACTTTTATTACATGACTATATGTTTGCATGTTTGCAAACATATTTCTTGTTTATTTTTGTGCATCTAGAATTTCAAAAAAATTATAATTTAGGCTCATTAAGGATCCTAAAATTATAAATTTTCTACTTAAAAACTCCTAAATAAAACATTCAAGATAAATTAAAATTTAGGATTAAAAAATTCAGGACTTTCAAAATCTATTTTTACTTTCCTGCATGGCCTTCGGGCCGGTTTTAAAATGGGTTGCATAACATGATCATAACCCAAGTCATATTAATAGGGCCTTCACAATAATCACTCTGAATAATTGCATTCATAGAGGAGAAGTTCTCGTGTTTCTTCAATCCAACTGACTCAGTATACCTTTTCTACGTAGGAGGTTGTCTAGTACACCTAGGTCGTTAGGAGGCTCTCCGACCCAGACAGGGAGTAAGTTCTCTTGTTCAGATCATTTCCAGCTTCATAGCTGAACTTCCACCTCTCTTTCTTTCTTAAGGCATGCTTACCACTTCGGCAGGTGTAAGTCCCACCTCTTGGAGCTCTAGCTTATGTCATAGAAAAGAGTCTCTTTCCTTTGACCTTAAGGCTATCAAGGTCCCCGTGGATGACACAATTCACGAGTTGTTGACTTAGGATCTCAGGACATGTTGGGTTGACTACCTTCACAACTAGTTAGGCTTAGGTTCTTACTAGCTTGGGATGGCGGGTCAGTGGTACTCTGGCTTAGCTACCTCTATCTCTTAGGGATTACTCCTCGCTTTCCTTTGACTACCCCTGTTGAGCCCTTTCGCTCATGTTGACTTTGTTGGTATCATCTTGATGGTACAGTGCTATGAGTTATTGTTTGTTTGGGATATGACGATTTGTCCTCTGCCCTTATGACCTGGATGTGCTTTGAAGTATTGGGGTACCCCCATCGAGATAATTATTGCTTATTTCATAGGTATCATATGTCGATAAGCCGCTACCTACTTAGGATGTAAGAGGCTCACTCTCTACCTAATGTCTTAGCCATAACTTTAAAGCATATGGCTTTCCCATACGGAATAACCTCTTTGATAACCTATTTTCCCAGGTCTACAATAATACTAGCGAAACACCTTTTATCAAGAGTATTCTTAGGTATTCCCCAAGATGTAATTAATCAATTGGGATACGTCCCCTTGGGAGTGCTCTTCACCCCAGAACATGCATCTACCTAAATCTCTGTTATATGCACCCTACGTAGGAATTCTTTTATGGATATTGGTCCAAGGTGCATCCATCCGACCTTATTTGGGTGGACATACTTGACATATCCTTGCTAGTTTTATCGCACATAGACTCTCTAAGTTTTGTTTTTTCTCTTGTCTGTCATATTGGTTGTATATTTGTCTTTTCTGGTTCCTCTTTTCTCCGGGCTATTCATATGACTCAGAGGAGAGATTTATTCAAAGAAGGGAAGTATACGATGATCGACAGGTTGACGACTCCTTTAAAAATAAAAGAGAGAAAAAATGAAGCGAAATTATGTGCAAGCTCTTATAGTTAAATAGATCTTAAGTTGCCAAGATCACTCAAGAAAACTCTCGATTACCATTAATGTTCCATCTTCAAGAATTCAAAGTAAAGTTTTCATAATTTATTATAGGAAAATCAAATAAGAAAAGCTTAATATGAAACAGTTATTTCTGGAACCCAAAATAATGAAAAGAGATGTCGAAGATACAGAGGAAACCTCGGTGACATCTCAAACTAACCTATGCTTTGGTTTTACATCTTTAAAAGAGAAGTTACTTTATATTTCACTCTTGAAATATATTTAGAAATTTATGACTTATTTTGTACGGCATACAATCATGTAAAAGCCTAAGAATATGCAAGGATTTATATCGTGCTAGATGAACAACCTTTGAATCTTAAAAGATTAGGACTTATTGCATGACATACAATCATGCAAAAGCCTAAGAAGGCGTGAGAATTTATGTCGTACTAGATAAACAACCTTGAAATCCTAAAAGATTGGGACTTGTTAATCAATGTCATATGAGATAACATTGATAGTTTATTTAAGGTTCATCATTTGCTTCATGTTTCATCTTCTTTTGGATATCTCAGATGTTGATGTTTAACAAACCACAACACTACCTAACCCTATAAAAAATGCCTCAAGAAAAGAAGAAAAATCATGCCTCGAAAGGCATGTCCTAGATTCTTATTATTTACTTAAAGTAGCCTTGCAAAACAAAGTTATGTTATTGTTCATCATGATAGAAGTGATTATAGAAATGGTTAATGAAAACTAATTAAATTTTATTTTATGCAACACCAATCAATATCCCATGTGTCCATCATCCTAATATTGTTGTTAGTGTTGACTTTACTTAGCTTAAAGAGGTAGTTAAACATGCTCAGATCAGAAAACTTTTGTCAGCAAGCATTAGTTGCGTCGTCCAAGAAGCTTACGTAAACCCATAGAGCTAATTATTGCTTATTATAATAATAATTACAATATTATAGATGTTATATTATTATTTTTATTATTATATACTTTTTTTAAGTAAACCTATTTATATGTTTTTTTAATGCATATATAAATGTTTAATATTATAAAAGCTTGTAGAATCCCATAAATTACCTGAGAAAGTGAATATGGTTCTTA